GTAATAAGATCAACTTTTTGAATTCAACTTGAATTGAACTTGTGAAAACAAATTTTACAATAGCATATGCCAATATGAGGGCAACTACCACAATACACATTATTAATGTAGTATCTCGCCATGTTGGGTGTACCCGATGGGCAAGATCTTCAAGTTGTTTTCGATGCTTATCTAGATGTCTGCCTACTTCATTATTGATAACCACATGCAACGTCTCTTTGTGTTTATCATCGACATGCTGCACCGTCTGTGCGTGAGAATCAGGTTTATTACCTCCAAAAAACATGTTCAATTTTTATTCAATGATCAATAATGTATGAATGAATGAATGAGTAGAAGGAAACTTTTTTTAGCATAGAAGTTGTGATTTAGTGTTGGTCAGCCTCGGCATTATATACCGCTATTCTTATCACTAAAAACATATTTCACATCTCGTCGAGAACATTCTTGGCCTCAAGACTTTGACCTCTCTACTCCTTACAATATTGAAGGTGAGGATTTCTTCTGGATAAGTTCGGCGTCAACCTACTATACTACCGATAACCTACTATTAATTTCAGGGTTAATGAGGTGTCGTCAAACATCCGTCTCCATTTTTCGTATATTACGGGCACTGTTCGTGGATGAATAAGTGTATACAACAATGGAATAGGACATCTCTGTTCCAATTAATAGGTTTTTTCTGTCTTAGTAGGGGGTCTCTCTTTTCCAATCCGTCCGACGTAATTTTACGCGAGTGCATTCATAATTATTTGTGAAACGTGTAAGATCCAGACTGTGAATGTCATTCAAAAGTCGGTTAAATTGCTGATCAATAAAAATTGGTGGATACTTATTGAGCAGCAATCTGTATCTTATCTCTGAAAATTCTCTTAAACAACCTGCTACGGCGGAGCAGATATGAATGGCACGAATATAAGCAACACATGAGATGTTCTTTTCTATATGCCTTGGATGTGCACTGTCATACGGTAACACATATGGTTGTGTCGCTGGTTTTCGATAGACTAACGTTTGTGCCGTCAATTTTTTCTGACCTCAACCTTGAGGTGGTAAAAATATCGTAAAAGCGCAGATATAACTGGTTTTCAGCAGTCTGCTGTGCGATGAAGTCTTTCCATATTCTTGCATATATGCGTCTGCCAATACCTGAGTTACAGTGCTGCCCATGGCACCTCCTTTCACTTGTTGGAAGAGTTCTGCGCTGCTATTGGTCTCAATGGTACGCCTGATTTATGGTCTTTCTGATTATAATATAGAGGTAACTCACAGTCCTGAGGTAATTTCAACTTCTCGTATACTATTTTTGATAATTCGGAAAACAAATGTTTCGAAGCTCCAAAATGCAATGAGAAAGAACTATCGTCGCTCTTCTGAAAGGGCGAGTTTTCTCGATGTTAGCATCCTTCTCGTAATTTTCGTTTTCACCATAAGAAAAGATCTGGGAAGGTTTAAAAATGATTTTTTTGGATTCAGTTCGCTCTCCTCTATCCAACTATGTGTAAATATTGAGAAAATAAAATAGTGTCGTAACTTTGAATTAGCGGCGCCTTATGTTACCTTTTCAGGAAATGTATTTTGGTATAGTCACCATCTCATCATCTCGTCCTGTGACGCCATTGTATATATTATCTCATTGTTTATATTACATCATGTTTTGTGTTATGTTATCTCTCCTATTGTACTTTACATATCTTTCTCTACTATATACACATAGGCGTGTATTTATTTTTTATTTGTAAAGAGGGAGTGTTTTTGCTTTCTTAATAAACCGTTTGCGTATACAAGTCAAGATTCGAACTAGTTAGGTGGAACCTAGCATACTCACATAACGTAACAGGAAGGCCCGAAGGTCAAAAATATTCAAAAGAATTTAAACAACTGGCTTTTTCTGTGACTGATATCATAGAGATGGAAAAGAATGGTGCAGCAATATCAGTCTTCAATGCCAATGGACGTCTTCAAGCTATGCTCGGCATGTCTAAGCGATCAGTCTATAATTTGCAAGCACTGGATATTCTACTCTCAACGTTGCTGGTTCAAGAGCCAGATTTTCCAATACAATCATGCTCATTGTTTCAACGCGAAATGAAAATATTTGGATTTAGATACTGGCAGACAAAGAAGCGCCTGTTTTAATGGATGCAACGGTATTTCAAGCACAGCGGGCTGTTTATTTTAGATGGTTAGATAAATTACTATGAGCTCATGCAAATTTATATTATCACGATAAAACTTGGTGTAATAAGAAAACCTGTTATCTGGTTCGATGATCGAGGTCATGGTCGTTTGTGAAATAGTGAAGGCAGACGTGGCGAAAGAGTACTACGATTAACTTCTATCTCATTCATTCCAACACGTCAGCGATTGGCCATTAGCGGTTTAACAACTTTACATGGGTTGCATCTACGTTCGTTAGACGTTTTCAAATGCAATGATCTTCAAGGCTGCTGATAAAAGAACAGAAGAGCTGGAAAATGATATAGTTGATGACGACGACGATGATGGTGCTGATGGAAATAATATAAACTGGTGATGATAGTGAGAACAGTGGCTGAACAATACTGATGCTGCGTGAAATTTATCTTTCTATATTCTTTTTAGTCCACTGTAGTGAGAAGAATGAATAAAAAGATATTCTCTGTATACAATCATTAATTTGAGGTGCTAGTACACCATGAATGAATTGGGATTGATTCCAACATAAAACAAACATTGCCGCGACGATCAGCGGCATCGATTGCCTACTTGACATGTATTTTCGAGGTCACAAGGCGAGAGAAAGCGTGAATTAGGGTGCCTCGGAGAAAACTGAGGGATCTCCGAAACCATGGACTTTGAAGAGTTCGCTTGAATTTCACTCTTTAGAGCACACTCCGAACTATATATGCCTAAAAAAATCAATAGATTGCTATTTGAATTTGAGAAAAGTCAAGTACGTTTTCCAAAGATCCTCGGGAAAAAGTCCTTAGGAAATTTTTCCGAAAATCGATTTTGCTGGTAGAAAGATAGCTTCAGGTGTCTAGTTTCCAAAACTGAAAACCACAGGTCTCTATCTTCGTTTCGCTCTAACTTATCCAAAAATTGGCAACCTGGATTATATTCTGGAATGGATAATAATTAAAATTCTTTCTGCAGAATGAATCACTGTTTGTGATTATCTCAACTGCCGTTGTATCTTTGCTATTATTGTTATCATAGTTGCCTGCATCATGTTATTAATATCATTACGTAGAGTAAATGGAGTTTATAATGATCTTTCAAATGTTCCATGTAAGAACTGTCATCAGATAGTTTAAAGGTGTCTATGATCTGGGCTCCTTCGACGTTTCTCAAGGGTTTTTGAATACTTTTTTTCAAAAATCTTAACTATGGGCTTTTCGGCGTCAATCGAATATCAATGCCAGATATTTTCAAGTATGCCAGTTCGCACAGCAAATATCTTTGATCAAAATGAGATGTCTCGCACTCAGAGCTGCAGAATCTACTTGTTTGCCCGACAGTCGTCGGGCGAAAACTTATTGATTTAGGAAAATTTTTTGAAAAATTGAAACATCTTTTTTGCAACTATATTGCAAAAAGAAATTCTGTTCTTGGATTATGTCGAGGAATTTTTTGAAAAAACTTTTTCTGTCAACGGAAGTTTTCTGATCACGAGTAAATTCTGCACGTCTGCTCGCACTTCTAGGCTGAATTTTAAACAAAAGTTATAAGAACTTTATTCGATCGGATTTATGAACCTAGTTTTTTCTTATGAAATGTTTTAAGCTTGCTAGTTATGTTAAGATGATAATCAACACTTTTTAGATATTTTAGTTTGTCCACCAAATGGTTTGTTGTTATGGTTTGATGAGAAAAGTTTTAAATTAAGTTTTCTTAAGACAATAATTTGTAAACCATGCCAATCAATATTAATTAATATCACTCGGGTGCCTTACACTTTTATTTGCAAATTAACGATTTATTGGAAACGATAAAGTAATACCTCATCCGACAGAGATTTCCAAGCGCTGCAACTCCCTGTATTTGTCTATTCAAAGTGTTATTGATAAGCAGTTATTTGTACTTCGTTTTAGGCAAACAGGGTTTCTGCTATGGATTTCTGAACAGAGCGGCCATAGATGTTTTTTGAATAACTCGAGAACGAAACGAGATAGACAGTTCGGATTTTCGGCATTTTGTAGAGAAGGCTTTACTCTATCTTCACATACATTTGTTGATAAAAATCTTGGTTTTTCAGGCGGTGTACCTGACGAATGAAAACAGATGATGTTGACAGATTATGAACCTGCGATGGACTTTTAATTGTAACATGGTGCTGGATAGCCCAAAATGTTCTCTACAATTCTATGCTAGACCGACCTCTCTATCTGTTATGGTTCTCGATTGGCAGGCGTTTTCTGGAGTCACCCGTAATTCGTCACCATTTCTGTTGTGAAAATGCCTGCCATTCAAGAACCACAACAGATAGAAAGGTCGGTCTTGCGCAGAATTGTAGATAACACTTTGGGCTATCTAGCCACCATGCTGCAGTTCTTCAAATTCAAATTCAATTCTCCTTTTCAAACTGACATAGTGTGATAAAGTGTGAAGAGCCACTCTTTAACTGCAGTGCGAAACTCTTGCCAAGAATCCTGCAATAACAAAGCATGCTGCATTGATGTCATCAAATAGAACAATGGTTGGTGTTCGCTAAACCATAATTTTATATACCTTCTCTACTTTTCTCCCAAAAGAACAGTAGAATGAAGTCATACGGTCGCCGTCAATGTGAAAAAAAACATTTATGACAACTATTTTGGGGCAAAAATAAACACGATTTATATCGTGTTTCTCCAAAAATACGTTGAAGTTGACATTTTGGACACTGACTTAAAATAAAAACTTTATATTGTAAAATAATTATAACCTAAGCAAGCATTGAAACAGTTTAATATAAAGGTCAATAGTTTAAAAAGTATATCAAAATTTCCTGTTGAAAGAACCATTAATGTTCCTATCTAATCTGTTATCAGTCTACTTCGATCCGTTAGTTCAATGTACGTTGAAGGTACCTCTGGAGATGAGGCAATCAGGTCTAAAATACTAATATTTTGTTTAATATTTACTGGTCTTGGTGTTGTTGTTCTAGCGACAAGGCTAGTATCAGTAGTAAACCGAGTAGTGGTCGTGGTAGCTTGAATATAACTTTGCGTAAATGTCGATGCATTACCATTATTAGCATGATAAAATTCATAACCTAAGCGATCTGATAAGTGTTTTGTATTATCTATATTTTCATCGCCAATATGTATAAAACGTCCTTTTACATGTAATCTGTTTGTTTCTTTAATTAAAAATTCTTCAAAATTTTTTGCAACTAATAAACGATTTGTAGGATTACTAAAATTATCATT